AGTGGTTATCCCCATCCCTGCAGCATCCCAGTGGTGTCTCCATCCTTGTGGCATCTCCATCCCAGCCCCAAGAGTGTCCCCATCCCTGCAGCACCTCTGTCCCAGTCCCAGAGGTGTCCCATCCCTGGTGCAGGTGTACCTGTGTACCTGTTTGTGTGGGGGGATACATGTGTGTAAGTGTAGCTCCTGTGTACATGTGTGTAAAAGTGTGTACATGTGTGTACAGGTGTGTACATGTGTGTACAGGTGTGTACAGGTGTGTACATGTGTGTACAGGTGTGTACAGGTGTGTACAGGTGTTACACACGTGTTCCTCCTCTCGGGGAGGGGGTGGGTGCCCACGGGGGTGGCTGTTCCTGAGCCCACACTCATTTACACAATCCCAGGGATCCTTCTCCCCTCTCCCCCTCTCCTCGGATGGTTGTAATAATATTCTGGCTCCTCTCCAAGTACGGGGTTGCCATGGAAACAATAAAACTGCAGCGATTTCGGGCTCCGCCGTCTCCCATTGTAAACGTGGAAGCGCTGGAGCGGGAAGGCGGCGATTCCCGGTGTCCTCAGCCCGGGCTGGGGGACGCTGCCCGTGCCCCCCGGGCTCACCTGGCCTGGCAGAGCCCTCAGGGGTTCTGGGCGGGGGCAGGTGGCCAACACGGGGCTGGGGGGTTTCTATGGAAACCGTGGGATGGTGGCTGGAAGCACCTTTTCCATGGACCAAACCCAAAATACACTTTTGTGTGTGTGTGTTTGTGTGTCTGTGTGTGCACACACGGGAGGTCCGGGCGAGGGACTGGCTGACAGGGGGGGTTTGTCCCCACTCAGAGGTGTCTCAGCATCTTGGGGACCCACTTGGGGACCCCAGGGAGACACAAGCATGAGGCATAGGGAGCTGGGCAGCACCTAGAGCAGGGGGGGCTGCACGGGGAGGGGTTTGTGGGTGCTGCTTGTGCACCCCCAGAGCTGGAGGGGTGCAGGGCTGGGGGTGCCCCAGTGCTCCCAGGGCCGGGGGTGACACTGGATTTGCTCCCTAAAGGGTGAAGCGAGTCCTGCAGGTCCCACCCTTGCACAGAGCTGCCGTTAAGGGGGGGGTCCCGGGTGTTTCCCTGCAGGGAGGACCCGCCGTGGTGCTGCTCCAAAATGCACAGGACCACCAGGATAAAGATCACCGAGCTGAACCCCCACCTGATGTGCGCCCTGTGCGGCGGCTACTTCATCGACGCCACCACCATCGTGGAGTGTCTGCACTCCTGTGAGTGTCCCGGGCCCCCACGCTGCCCCCAGGGGTGCCCTGAGCCCCCCCAAGGCTGGTTGTGCCACACCAACCCCCTCCCGTGCTGCCCAGACCCTCCCTGCGTCCGTGTGGAGCTGTGGGGTGATGGATGGGGCTGCAGCGGGCAGGGGTCCTGTCCCCCAGCCAGTGTGGGGGTCTGAGGGTGCCACTCCAGGCTGGCACAGAGGCTCTGCCCCTTCGTCCCTCTGCTCACACCGAGTCTCTCCCCACAGTCTGCAAAACCTGCATCGTTCGCTACCTGGAGACCAACAAGTACTGCCCCATGTGTGATGTCCAAGTGCACAAAACCAGGCCCCTCCTCAGCATCAGGTGAGCTCGGGGGTCTCGGGGGGCTCCCCATGTCCCTGCGGCCTGTGCCCGCTCGGGGGTGCAGCCCTGAGCACCTGGAGTGGGGAATCTGCCCCCAGCCCCCCCCTCACAGCACAGAACCCCTGCCCCTGATCCCACCCCCTGTGCCAGCGGGGATTTGGGGGCTGTCGGGGTGGGAAGGGAATGGGGACAGTGGGAAACATCAGCGTGGGGGGGGACAGGACTTGGGGACATCTCTGTGGCAGCAGAAAGAGGCTGGGACAGGTGCCCTCACCTAGATCCATCCCAGACCCATCCATCCATCCACCAATCCATCCACCAGTCCATCCATCCATCCATCCATCCATCCACCATCCATCCACCAATCCATGCATCCATCCCCCAATCCATCCATCCAGCCATCCATCCATCCATCCATCCATCCATCCATCCATCCATCCAGCCATCCATCCATCCATCCAGCCATCCACCCATCCACCAGTCCATCCATCCATCCATCCATCCATCCACCATCCATCCCCCAATCCATCCATCCATCCATCCATCCACCATCCATCCCCCAATCCATCCATCCATCCATCCATCCATCCACCAATCCATCCATCCATCCATCCATCCATCCATGCACCATCCATCCATCCACCATCCATCCCCCAATCCATCCATCCATCCCCCAATCCATCCATCCATCCATCCCCACAGTCCCCCTGGCTGCAGTTCACCCTGTGCTCTCCAGCCCCCTCCCCTGTCCCCCGTGGGGTCGGTGCCCTGGGGGGTGCCGAGGTGGCAGTGCCAGGGTGGGCACAGGTGACAGTGGCCGTGTGAGGTGCCAGTGGCTCTGTCACAGCCCCAGCTGGGGAAATCCAGGCCCGGCTGTGGAATTGGCTCTGCAGGTGGTTGGCATAGAAACCAGGGAAGGCTCTGATGCATCACCCGTGGCCGTTCTTTACCCTGGGTGGTTTTTTTTTAGCCTCTTCCCTGTAAATCCGTTTCTGTAGTAACACTTCTTTTTTTTTCTTTTTATTTTTTTCCCCTTTCTGGTTCACTATGAAATATTTACACTCCCACAGCTCCTCCAACACATCCCTGTCTGTGCCTGCAGACGGATCTGGCGCCGGCACCGTGCCCACGTCCCCAGGCCCTGGGTGCCCTGGTGACAATTTGTTTGGTCCCAGAGCAGGGAAAAACATGGGGAAAACTTGGCAGGATGGGCCTGATCCACAGGAAACTCCCTGCACCGTTGCTTCCCAAACCAGGTGCCAACACTGTGCCCACCCCGGTGCCCCCCAGTTGCCACCACACTGGGCTTGCTGGGGCTGGCTGGTGGCAGAGCTGGGAATTCAGCAGCTCAAAGCTGATGTTACCTCGGCTTGCTGCGAATTATGAAGTGAATTCTCTGGGTATTTATTGTAAATAAAGTCACAGCGGGGGCCTTGTGAGCCGGGGTGACGTCACCGAGGAATTCGGGATGAAAGACGGGGCTGGGCTAAAAATAACACGGGGCACAGTCGTTTGTTTGCCTTTCAAATAAAGGCCTTATTATGAAATGGAAATAATTGCAGGTATAATTGGCTTTTCACCGGGCCCCGCTGCTCCTGCTTTGCTTTTGAGGTGTTAAATTGTGCCACGTTCCCCTCCTGCAGGTCCCAGCAAAATCCTGCCTGAGCATGGGGCTGGAGCTTCCCCTGCTTCCTCGAGTGCTTTGGGAGATCCTGCCTTGGGATATTCACGTTTTAGGGAATCCACTTTCCCATCAAACAGCCTGGCACTGCCCTGCCCTCCTTCCCACGGAGGGAAATCAAAGCCTGAGCCCCTGGTGCTGCAGCTCCAAAATAAACCTTCGGAGTCCAAAAATAAAATTGGATGCAAATATAAACTCGCAGAAACATTTGCTGATCTTAGATTTAATTTTTTTTTTTAAATTCTCGGTGTGTTTTTTGTGATTGTTTTGACTGCTGAAACGGCTCCTGGCCCCGACTCCTGCTGTCATCATTCCCAGCAATTACAGGGATTTTTGAGATGGTTTTCTTTCTTTTCCCAGAGTTAACCCTGTGTGGCGAGGGTGGGGGTTGTGGGATCGCTGTGGGATGGGAATTTGGGGCTTTGGGATGTGGAACTGGGGATTTGGGGCTTTGGGATGGTCGTTTTTCAGGAGGGAGATGGGGGAAGCAGGGAGCACGTGGTGCAGGGCAGCTTCCAGTAACCCTGGGAATAAACTGCTCCCTAATCCCACTGATTTCTCTCTCCTTTCCTATTTCCCCCCTCCCAGGTCGGACAAAACCCTTCAGGACATTGTGTACAAACTGGTCCCGGGGCTTTTCAAAGGTACAACCACGGGCAGGGGGAACTGGGGGGGATTTTTGGGGACAGTAACAGGGACAGCAGGACAACGTGTGTGTGCACAGCCAGGGATGGGCTCATCCCACGCTCCGGGGGCTGCTCTGAGGGGACCCACAGGAAGCAAAGCTGGGAGCAGGAGCCTGGATTTGCTCTCCAAGTGCCTTCCCGTCCTTGTGGGGGGGGGGGGAAATTGTGGGGTCTGCAGGTGTGGGAGGGCTGAGGAGCAGCTGAGCCGCCGGAAAGGCTTTGTCACAGCAGAGGGTTTATGGATTGATTGCTCCTGCTAAAGCCGCTGCTCGCCAGGGGAGGGGGCACTGGGCAGTCTGGGGGGCTCCTCTCACCCCACTCTTTGCCCCCATCTCTCCTCGGGGAGGTGTTTTCCCCCCTCACCTTCCTCCTCCTCCTCCTCCTCCCTCAGATGAGATGAAGAGGCGCCGCGATTTCTACGCCGCGTATCCCATGGCCGAGGGTGAGTGTCACGAGTGTCACCCCCGGGGGACCCCCCTGACCCCGCCGTGTCCCCCCCACCCCTCCCGGCAGCGGCTCAGCCCCTCCCTCCCTCCGCTCCCGCAGTTCCCAACGGCTCCAACGAGGATCGAGGGGAGGTGTCCGAGCAGGACAAGGGGAACCTGACGGACGACGAGATCGTCAGCCTGTCCATCGAGTTCTACGAGGGCTCCAGGTACCCGTTTGGGGCTCCTCCCAAACCTCTGCCTGGGTTTGGGGCTTGGGAAGAAACTCCCACCTCCTCTCCCCCCTTCTGGCACTGAGATCGTGGAGTCACGGGATGGTTTGGGGTGGAGGGGACCTTAAAGATCACCTCATTCCATGGGCAGGGGACACCTTCCATGCCAGGCAGGCAGGGAAGCTCTTTCCCGAGGGCTGCCGTGTCCCTGGTGCTGGTGGTGGCCTCTGAGGATGTCACTGTACGAGAAATAAATAATCTGGTTTTATTACAAGCAAAATGAATTTAGTGGAAAACAGAGGGTGGTGGAATTTTCTTTTCTTTCGTTTAATTCCAAGGGGTTTTTTTTTGAAAGCAAGGATTTTTCCGACAACTGGCACCTGTTTTGGGGGGAGTCAGTGGTTGCAGGGGCCTGGATTGGAAATGGGCATGGAAGTAGTTGGAGGGGGGTGAAGCCACAGCCTGGCTGGTGGATGTCTCCTCCACTGACAGCCCTTCTGGGGGGTTCTTCTTCCTCTCCACCCCTTCATTCCTCCATAAACTTTGTCCTGTGTTTCCAGAGAGGAGAAGAAAGGCGCCGTGGAGAACGGGGACCTGGAGAAGGAGAAGGTGAGTGCGGTGGGACTGCGACAGGGGGAGCTCCGTGTCCGGCTGCCCCCGGGGCTTTTGGGGTGCGGGGGGCACAGGAGGGCACCCAAAAGGTGGCCTCAGTGACGTCTCCACCTCGTCCCAGAGCAACGGGCTGCGGTTCCTGCGCTGTCCCGCTGCCATGACCGTCATGCACCTCGCCAAGTTCCTCCGCAACAAGATGGATGTGCCCAGCAAGTACAAGGTGAGGGGGATCCCCGGGGGTGCCCGGGGGGTGCCCGGGGTCTGCTCATTGCCCAGATTTCCCTGTGCCCTGCTGGGCTCGGAGGGGCCGGGGCCTGTTTGGCCTCCCCCGTGTTGCAGCCCCCGCTGCAGGCGCCGTGTTCTGCTGCCCCCAGACAGCTCTGCTCTGCCACCCTTGCCCTGGGGCTGCATCCAGCCTTTCCCTGGGGCTGGATCCATCCTTTCCCCGGGGCTGGATCCATCCTTTCCCTGGGGCTGGATCCGTCCCTTTCCCTGGGGCTGCATCCATCCTTTCCCCATGGCAGGATCCATCCTTTCCCTGGGGTTGGATCCATCCTTTCCCTGGGGCAGGTTTCATCCCTTTCCCTGGGGCTGCATCCATCCTTTCCCGAGGGCTGGATCCGTCCCTTTCCCTGGGGCTGGATCCACCCTTTCCCTGGGATTGCATCCATCCTTTCCCTGGGACTGCATCCATCTTTTCCCTGGGGCAGGATCCTGCTCTTTCCCTGGGGCTGCATCCATCCTTTCCCTGGGACTGGATCCATCCCTTTCCCTGGGGCTGGTTCCATCCTTTCCCCGGGGCTGCATCCATCCTTTCCCCGGGTCAGGATCCATCCTTTCCCTGGGGCTGCATCCGTCCCTTTCCCTGGGGCAGGATCCATCCTTTCCCCAGGGCTGCATTCATCCTTTCCCTGGGGCTGGATCCGTCCCTTTCCCTGGGCCTGCATCCATCCCTTTCCCTGGGACTGCATCCATCCTTTCCCCGGGGCTGAATCCATCCTTTCCCGGGAGCTGGATCCATCCTTTCCCTGGGGCAGAATCCATCCTTTCCGTGGGGCTGCATCCATATTTTCTCTGGGACTGCATCCATCCTATCCCT